TTCAGCTCTTTAACACTACTAACTTTTGTAGTCTCGTGTGTGTGTGTGTGTGTGTGTGTGTGTGTGTGTGTGTTTGAGATGCAGTCTGGTTGTGTTGCCCAGGCTGGCCTCATACTCTCAATCTTCCTGTTTTAGCCTCCCAAGGCATCTACCTTGCTTGGTTAGTTTCCACATTTTGATTAAGGCTAGCTAGTATATATTTTTATTTTAGATATTGTACTTTGAGTCAAATATGGTGATAACATGGCTATAATCCCAGCACTCTGGGAGGCTGAGACAGGAGGAACACAAGTTCAAGCCCAGCCTAGGCAATTGGTGACTTTGACCCTGTCTCTAAAAAATAAAAAGTTGGGCCAGGGATGTAGCTCAGTGGCACTGCACCAGCCCTGCAAGCACAACGTCCTGAGTTCGATCCCTAACACCAAAAAAAGGCTGAGGATGCAGCTCAGTGTGTAGGCCCAGGGTTCAATCCCTAGTACTGCAAAAACAGCATTTTAACTGTCTTTCCTGTCACAGTATGTTTAAGGGTCAGAAGAGGGGAAATTGGTTTTAAAATATAGTAATCTTTGTTAGTAGTAACTGTTATTTTGAAACAGTTATGTTTATGTCATAAACTAAAACAATTTAGTAATTACTTGTCATAAAACCATATTTGCAACAGAAGCCTGAACTTTTAGGAGTTTACCTTGAACAACTTTCTGATTCTTTTCTTTTTTTTTTTTGGTACAGGGGATTGAACTCGGGACCTTGCACTTGTGAGGCAGGCGGCAGAACCACTGAGCTAAGTCCCCGGCAGAACTTTTTGATTCTTGAACTAGTGTGAGATTGCATAGGTTTGGGTTCCTGGCTATCTTATTAGCTGTGAGGCCTTGAAGGAATTAATCTTCTGGGGACTTAGTTTTCTTGTCTGTAAAGGAGTGCTGGTAACAGTGTTTTTATGAGGTTAGTTTGAGGATTCAGTGAATTAATGTTTATGAAGTGCTTATGAGGTCAGCCAGTACCTACACAGATTTCATAACTTTTTAGCTCTGTGTGTGTTGCCCAGAACCTAGCATAATAAGTAGAGGGATGGAAACATGGAAGAGTGTGTAGAATGAAAATATCTAGGGCTGGGAATGAGGCTTGTTCACAGAGCACACAGGTGAAGCCCTAGGTTTGATCTCTAGCACTGCAAAAAAAAAAAAATTCTATTTTAGATGTATATTGGTATTCTAGAAAGCAGGAGGGTGAGCTGCTTTTGGTGGTATATGCCTGTAATTCCAGCACTTGGGAAGCTGAGGCAGGAGGATCCGAGATCGAGGCCAGCCTGGGCTACATAGTAAATTCAAGGCCAGTTTGAACCACACAGTGAGACTCTATCTCAAAAAACCTAAATAAAAAAATAAATAAAAGATTTAAAAAGAAGGGGTGTGTGTGTGGGGCGAAGAATGAGAGATAAAATATTCAATGTGATAATAGTTGATAATTTATAAAAACTTATAAAATCAGAATCATTCAAGAACCAAAGAAATCCTGAGGAGGACAAATAAATCTATAATCTGAATATATAAGAAAAACCAACCAACCACCTGACCAACCACATTTGACCAAGTGGATTTCTCTAAGGAGTCCAAGAATGGTATATAGCATTAGCAAATCTGTTAGTCTTATTGACTACTTTAACACATGAAAGGAAGAAAAAAAATTCATTATCTAAATAGATTAAAGAAAAAGGGCCCAGTGAATTTCAACACTCAGTATAAAATGCTTAGAAAACTGCTGGGTGTGGTGCCGCACCATTGTGATCCCAGCACTTGAGAGCAGGATCACCAAGAATTCAAGGCCAGCCTGAACTCCATAATGACACCCTGTCTTAAACCAACAACAAACAATGCCTAAAAACTAGTAGTTTAGACAGGTTCCTTAATATGACCACAGAGTTTAGCAGTGAAATCTGAGATGCATTTCTTTTAAAGTAAAAAACAAGAGATGCCTACTTTCACTATGTCTTCCTTTTTTTTTTTTTTTTTTTCCAAACTCACTTTGTAGCCCAGGCTGGCCTCATGGCCATCCTCCTGCCTCAGCCTCCTGAGTGCTGGTAGTACAGGCTTGTACCACCACACCTGGCAATTCTCACTAGTTCTGTTTTGCAGTAGAGGTCCTTGACAGTTTAAAGAAAGAGAAGCAAGAATTATACAAAGTTGTCATTTTTTTCAGGCGTGTATACAGAGAATCTGGAAGGTTTTACACTGATGAAAGTTGGGCAAAGTTGCTGAATTATAAAATGTGATTTTTAAAGAAGATGTAGAGCTGGGCGTGGTGGTCCTTCCTTCCTGAGGCAGGAAGGTCACAAGTTCAAGGCCTGCCTGGAGTACATTATGAAACCCTGGCTCAAAAAAATAAAAAAAAGACTTGGTTTGTAATAGCATCTAAAATTCTAAGGAACATAACATGTCTTAACAAACAAAAACAGTGTGCAATCCCTTTATAGAGAAAGTTGTAAAAGGATGATGAAAGACATAAAATAACACTTGAGTAAATGGTAAGATGTAGTGTGTTGCTCTTACTGCATGGCTGGTGCCTGAGATGCCTGCCTGCCGAACCTTGCCTCTCCTCTCCCAGCAGAGACCCAGGGGACCTGAGAAGTGGAGACCAGAGTGCTCGGACTGCAGACATGCACGACCATGCCTAGCAACAGACCCTGTTCATAAACAGTGTGAAACAACCTCTGGTGAACCCTAACTGATTAAACAAAGCAAAATGGAAAACTCTTAAGCAATAAAGAGTTTGCCCAAAGATATCATTCACAGGAGACACCAGAATGATTGACAAACTTATGGAAAAATGTTTTAGTGAATGGGATGAGGTAGAATTGTGACTCTTCCCCAAAAGGATAGTTCCCCAACCCATACATTAAATATAGCACTTTTTTGTTTTGGGGGGATGGTAATGAGGGGACTCATTAATAGTAATGGAAAAGCAAATTTTAAAAATTTAAATTTTTTGGACAGGGATGTAGCTCAGTAGTGCCACGCCTGCCTGGCAAGCGCAAGATCCTGAATTTTGTTGTTGTTGTTGTTGTTGTTTTTTGGTACAGGGATCGGGGATCGAACTCCGGACCTTGTGCTTGTGAGGCAGGCAGCAGCACCACTGAGCTAAATCCCCAGCCCAAGGTCCTGAGTTTGATCCCCAGTACTGGAAAGAAAAATTTTTTTTCATTGGTGCATGTTTGCAGTACATAATGATTACATTCATCCTGGAAAGTTGGTACATGTGTATAACACATTTTAATTCTTTTTTCATCCCCTTCCCACCCCTCCCACTCATGTCCCTCATTTCTGGGTCCCCCTATCATTTGTAAAAGATCTACCTGGAAATGCATATCCAAATGAGATATCCACTTCATACTCCAAAGTACAGTGGTACCTCATTTCACGAATTTAATTCTTTCCATGATTCTGGTTGCAGCAGAATTGCATGCATGTATGTACTATGGAAAGAATTAAGTTCATAAACTGAGGCACTACTGTAATAAAAATGACAGTGTCTGATGTTGGCAGTTTGTAGGAAGGTGAATACTTTACAAACAGATGGGAATGTAAATTGACTTAGTGCAGCTCTTTGGAGAATGATTGAGTAGTACAGATTGAGCATCCCTAATCCAGAAACCTGAAATATAAAATGCCCTGAAAGCTTTTTTTCTCCCAGAATTAACAGTTGAACTCAGGGCCTTCACATTAAGCTACATCTCCAAGCCTTGTTTATTTTTATTTTTATTTATTTATTTTTTTGGTGCTGGGGATTGAACTCAGGACCTTGTGCTTTCAAGGCAGGCGCCAGAACCACTGAGCTAAATCCCCAGCCCTTGCCTTTTTTATTTATTTATTTTATTGGTACCGGGGATTGAACTCAGGACCTTGCACTTTCGAGGCAGGCGGTGGAACCACTGAGCTAAATCACTGGCCCTGCCTTGTATATTTTTAATTTTTTTTGTTTTTTGAAACAGGCTCTTACTATATAGTCCAAGTGGGGCTTGAACTCACTATGTACCCCAGACTGACCTCAAACTCAAAGCATTCCTCCTGCCTCAGCCTTCCAGAGTGCTGGGATTTTTTTTTTTTTTGAGACAGAGTCCTGCTGTGTTGTTCAGACTGGCCTTGAACTCATCATGTAGCCCAGGCTGGCCTTGAACTTGTGGTGATCCTCCTGCCTCAGCCTCCTGAGTGCTAGGATTACAGACATGTACCACCATGCTAAGAGAGTTTTTAAAAATTGAAAAACCCATGTATATTATAAAAACATTTGAATATGTACCTAAACAAAGTATCATTCATAAATACATAGGTAATAAAAGAATGAAATTGTAGATACTGCAGGTTAGTAATTATGAGGAAGAAGAGGGTTGAATGAATTACTTGGTTCCTTAAGTGTTAGAAATACTTGTTTTGTGGTACTGGGGATTGAACCCATGGCCTTCTTACTGAGCTACATCTGCAGCCTTTATTTATTTATTTCTGGTACTGGGGATCAAATTTAGGACCTTGTGCTTGCAAGGCAGGTCCAGTGCCACTGAGCTAAATCCCCGGCCCTGATGCCTTTCATAATTTTTTTTGAATTTAGGTCAGGGACCCAACTTGGGACCCTGCGCTTGTGAGGCGGGTGGTGGAACCACTGAGCTAAATGCCCAGTCCAGATTCTTTTTGAGACACAGTCTCGCTAAGTTGCCTAGGCTGAGATTGAATTTGTGATCCTCCTGCCTCAGCCTCCCAGTGTGTTGGGATTACAGGCGTGTATCACCACAACTCAAGAATGTTTAATTTTTTAAGTAGGAGGCAAATATGAACAAATGTTAATATTAAATGTCAATACTTAGCCGGGGATGTAGCTCAGTGGCATTGTGCCTGCCTGGCAAGCGCAAGGTCCTGAGTTCGATCCCCGATACAAAAAAAAAACTTGATTATTTGTTATGCTTTTCTCTGGACCTTTATGTATTTTTAAACCTTTATAATTAAAAATAAAACATGTAAAAAAATAAAACATGTAAAATCAGATTATTATAACGTGTTAATTCTCGGAAAGAGAAAGAGATATGAACAGGATCTCATGAGAGCATTGAGGAATGACTCAGACATTTTTTTCTCCCTTTTTTTGAGACAGGGTCTCACTATGTATGTAGTTCAGGCTGTCCTTAAAATCACTATATGGCCCAGACTGGCTTCCAACTCCAGGCGACCCTCGTGCCTCAGCCTCCTGAGTGCTGGGACTATAGGTGTGCGGCACCATGCCTGGCTAGACATGTTTGATCTAAGTGGTTTACCCTAGGAGGCTGAGGCAGGAGGATCACCATGAGTTCAAGGGTAGCCTGGGCTACATAGTGAGACCTTATCTAAAAAAAAAAAGCTGATTACAGATGAACTTCAGGTGCTGAAGAGCAGGCAGGAGCTTTTTGAGTTGAGAAAGTGGGAAGAGGGGGGGCCGGGGATTTAGCTCAGTGGTTCTGCTGCCTGCCTCACAGGTGCAAGGTCCTGAGTTTGAACCCCGGTACCAAAGAAGAAAAAATGGGAAGAGGAATGTTTCAGGCCGAGGAAACCACTGATGCAGTTTTAACTGTGGGAGATGCTTAGGTAGTGGTTAGAGAATTGGGTGGGGATGAAGAAAAAGTACTGAAATGATACTGTGTGTTGATCCTTCTATGGAGCTTACAGGAGAAATATACAGTGGACCCTCAAGTTACGACTGGCCTGACACATGGACAACTTGGGTTATGACTGGAATTTTAGTTTATGAACAAAGTCTTGAGTTTTGACCCAAATGCTGGCCACTTGTGCTTCTAGATGGTCTCAGATACAGATTTAACCCTTGAAGAGTTCTGGAAGGAACATGAGAATATCCTTTCTTGCGTGGTTCACTGAGAAATTCTGGGCCAGTGTCTCTAAGGACACTGAGATCTGCCTGGAAGAAAGTGTGGCCTAAAATTATACAGGAGAGAAAGAGTCTTTGAAGGCAGTTGACCAACTTGAGTTACAGCTAGCCTTGGGAAACGAATTGAGTTTGTAAGTCAAGGGTCCACTGTAGTGTGCTCTTTGTTCCCGTTTCCTCTGCCTTCTTTTTCTCTTTTCCCTTCCCTTCCCTTCTCTTTGGTACTGGACATTGAGCCCAGGTGTGCTATATCACTGAGTAACATTCTCAGCCATTTTTATATTTTATTTTGAAACAGGATTTCCATAGCTCCATAGGCTGGCCTCAAACTTGCTGTTGTACTTCCTCAAGCTCCTGAGTTGCTAGGGTTACACATGTGCTTCACTGTGTGCAGCTTCTGCCTTCTTTTGGATAAAGGGCATTTTTATTAATTGTATTTGGGTCCTGGCATGCCTTCCATGTCTCTACTTAACATGTACAATATTTCCTTTAAGAATTTGAACATATGGGATACATTCATAGCAATTTTAACAACTGTTTAAATGCCCCTGTCTACTAACTCATCTATGCATTTCTGAGTTGGTTTCAGTTTCCTCCTTATAGTTTTTGTAAAGTTCCCTTGCCTGCCCTAGTAAGCTTTGATTGGATGCCTATACATTGTGAATTTTATTCTGCTGGATGTTGGGTATCTTTGTATTCCTGTGAATGTTCTTGACTTTTGTTCTGAATTGGGCTTAATTACTTGGAAATGGTTTGATTTTGGGGAGTCTTGCTTTTAAGCTTTGTTAGGTGAACTACAGAGATGTTTTCTCTCTCTCTTTTATTTTTTGGTACTGGGGATTGAACTCGGGTCCTTCTGCTTGGGAGGCAGGCAGTGGAACCGCTGAGCTAAATCCCCGGCCAGAGCTGTTTTGTCTGTGGCTAATTTTACCGAACTACTGAGGCAAGTCTTTGAGCACTGTGTCCAATGTCCTGTAAATTACAGGGTTTTCTATTCTGGCAGGAAGGAGAACCAACATTGGCCCTGTGTGAATGTTGAGAATTGTTCCCTCTAATCTTTTGTTTTTAATTCTGCAGTACTGGGGATTGAACTCATGGCCTTGCACATATTGGGCAAGTTTTCTCTACAGAGGTACATTTCCAGCCTCCTAGAATCTTTTTTTTGATACCAGGGATCGAACTCAGGACCTTATGTTTGTGAGGCAGGTGTGCCAATGAGCTAAATTCCTGGCCTTCATAGAATTTTTTTGAGTGATGTTTCCCTGGCTGGGTGCTTTCCTTACCACAAGCACCAATCAGCTCTCAGCCGAAGACCCTCTGCAATTCTCTTTATTTATTTAAATTTATTTTTGAAATAGGGTCTTGGTATGTATTTTTGGTTTTTTAAAAGTTAATTTTATTGGTACATTTTAGGTATACAATATAATGACATTCATCATTGGAAATTTGCACCTTTACATAATCTCTCTTGGTT